CACTGTTGGTGGGAATGTGAACTGGTGCAGCCCCTCTGGAAATCAGTGTGGAGGGTCCTCAAAAAATTAACAATGAAACTCCCCTATGACCCAGCAATAGCACTGCTAGAAATTTACCCAAGAGATACAAGAGTGCTGAGGCATAGGAGCACATGTACCACAATGTTCATAGCAGCACTCTCACCAATAGCCAAAACATGGAAAGAGCCTAAGTCTCCATCAATGGATGAATGGATCAAGAAGATGTGGTTTATCTGTACGATGGAATACTACATGGAGATAAGAAAGAATGAAATCTGGCCATGTGTAGCAACATGGATGGACCTTGAGGGTGTTATGCTGAGTGAAATATGTCAGGCAGAGAAGAACAAATATCATATGTTTGCACATATAGGAGGATTAGGAGGAACTTAACGGAGGACAATGGGGGAGAAGAAGGGGAAAATAGTGGGGGAAAGGGGGAGAGGCAAACCATGAGAGACTCTTGAATGCTGACAAAAACTGAGGACTGATGGATGTGGGGGGGAAGGGGGGATGGGCATAGAGTGGGGCACTTATGGGGATGAGCACTGGGTGTTATATGGAAACCAACTTGACAATAAACTATTTGTAAAAAAATAAAATAAAAATAACTAAAAATAAATTTAAAAAATAAAATTAGAGACAAAAGAAACATGCAAAAAAATAAAAATAAAAAACCTCACACCCAAAAAACAAACTACCCAGTGAAGAGATGGGCAGAAGACATCAATAGACACTTTTCCAAAGAGGACTTCCGGATGGCCAACAGACATGAATCGATGCTCAGCATCCCTCCTCATCAGGGAAACACAAATCAATACCACACTGAGATATCACCTCACGCCAGTCAGAATGGCTCAAATGAGCAAATCAGAGGACTCTAGATGCTGGCGAGGATGTGGTGAAACGGGCACCCTCCTACACTGTTGGTGGGAATGTAAACTGGTGCAGCCCCTCTGGAAAACAGTGTGGAGGTTCCTCAAAAAAATTAACAATGAAACTCCCCTATGACGCAGCAATAGCGCTGCTAGGAATTCACATAAGGGATAAAGGAGTGCTGATGCATAGGGGCACATGGACCCCAATGTTCATAGCAGCACTCTTAACAATAGCCAAAACATGGAAAGAGCCTAAGTGTCCATCAACGGATGAATGGAACAAGAAGATGTGGTTTATCTAAACCATGGAATACTACATGGCAATGAGAAAAAATGAAATCTGGCCATGTGTAGCAACATGGATGGAACTCGAGGGTGTCATTCTGAGCGAAATAAGTCAGGCAGAGAAGGACAAATATCATATGTTTGCACGTATAGGAGGATTAAGAGGAACTTAACAGAGGACCATGGGGGGAGAAGAAGAGGGAAAATAGTGGGGGAGAGGGAGGGAGGGAAACCAAGAGAGCCTCTTGAATGCTGAGAACAAACTGAGGACTAATGAGTGTGGGTGGGCAGGTGGAGATGGGCATGGAAGAGGACACTTGTGGGGATGAGCAGTGGGTGTTATATGGGAACCAACTTGACAATAAACTATTTGTAAAAAAAAAAAACATATAAAAGAATAGAAAATACAGAAATAAACCCACAACTATAGGTCAACTAATTTCAACCAAGCAGAAAATAATATACAATGGAAAAGACAGTGTCCTCAACAAATGGTACTGGGAAAACTAGACCTCAGCAAGAAAATTAATGAAACTGGACCACTTTCTTACACCAGATACAAAAATAAACTCAAATGCATTAAATACCTTAGTGTGAGACAGGAAAATATTAAAAACCTAGAGGAGAACAAGGGCAGTAACCTCTCTGACATCAGCCATAGTAATTTCTTTCTAGATATGTCTCCCGAAACAAAAGCAAAAATGAGCTATTGGAACTTCATCAAAATAAAACTTATGCACACTGAAGAAAACAATCAACAGGCAACCTACAGAATTGTAGGGAGAATATATTTGCATGTCATATCTTGAAAAGGGTTAGTATCCTAAATCTATAAAGAATTTATCAAACTCAACACCAAAAGCAAATAATATAGTTAAGAAATGGGCAGAAGAAATGAATAGACACTTTTCCAAAGGAGACATCCAGATGACCTACAGACACATGAAAAGATGCTCAATATCATTCATCATCAGAGAAATGCAAATCAAAACCATGTTGAGATACCACCCCACACCTGTCAAAATTGCTAAAATTAACAAGTCAGGCCAATAAATGTTGGTGAGGATGTGGAGAAAAGGAATCCCTCTTGCACTGTTGGTGGGAATGGTGCAGCCACTCTGGAAAACAGAATGTAGGTTCCTCAAAAAGTTACAAATAGAACTACACTACAATCCAGCAATTACTCTGCTTGGTATTTACCCAAAGGATACAAAAATACAGATGTGAAGGGGCGAATGCACCCCAATATTTACAGCAGCACTATCAACACTAGCCAACTAGATAAAGAGCCCAAGTGTCTGTCAGTAATGAATGGAGAAAAAAGTGATATGTATACACAATGGAACATTACTCAGTGATCAAAAAGAAAACTATCTTACTTGCAATGACATGGATGGAGCTAGAGAATATAATGCTAAATAAAATAATTCAGTCTAAGAAAGACAAAAACCATATGATTTCATTCATATGTGGAATTTAATAAACAAAACAAATGAACATAAGGGAAAAAAAGAGAGGAAACCAAGAATCAGCCTCTTCACTATAGAGACCAACCTGTCGGTTACCGCAGGTGAGGCGGGTGGAAGGATGGATGAAACAAGACAAGGGGGTTAAGAGCGCAGTGATCTCAGTGAGCGCTGAGTAATGTATGGAATTATTAAATGACTCTACACCTGAAATGCATACAAGAGTATATGCTAACTGTGCTGGTTTAATATTTAATGAAAAAGAAAACCTTATAATACAAATGATGATTATATTTTCTATATATGATTTTATAATTCATAAAGTGCATTATATGCAAAATAAAAATAAGTGAAAATAAATAGATTAAAATCTTAGCAAGTGATTTTTAGGATATATCTAAGCTGGTGCTCAATGCAATTTCAGTTTTCTTGTTTTCCCAAAATCTTATGTGAGCACATGATAAGTTATTAATTGTAGAAGTCAACTTCCTTAAAAATCTATTCTGTTACGATCTCACATCTTATCTAGTAGCTCTGCCTTGGTGGATTCATACCAACCTTAAACGTCAAGGTGATTATTTACACGTGAATTTGTTCAATAGTTATTTAAGCTGCATATCCCTAGCAGGTGTAGTCTAAATATATGTATACAAATTTCAATGAACAACAGGAGCACTTCTTTCTATATACACTATATGTGGGCTCACTCTTCACTGAGAACAAACTGAGGACTGATGGGTGTGGGGGGGAGGGAGGAGATGGGCATGGAGGAGGGCACTTGTGTGGGTGAGCACTGGGTGTTATATGGAAACCAACTTGACAATAAAATATTTGTAAAAATAAATAAATAAATAAATAAATAAATAAATAAATAAATAAAACATTAACAAAATTTTAAAAAAAAACCCACCATGAGACCATTTAAAAGGAATTTAGGCTATCAGTTCATTTAGCCTTGTGCTGTCCCGAGTAAACACCTCCAAACTCATCATTCATGATTTAAGTTTCATGGCTAGCATCTTCGCCCCAGCTTTAACATTTGCGTACCGTCTGTGTGCCTATGTTACCCTGTCAGGGTAGTTGGGAATAGAGTTAATTATTTCCTCTCTGGACACAATGACCAATTAAACAGGAGGGACTCTGGAATCCCTAGGGCCAAGATAGAGGACACGGCACTGTGGGAATAGGTAGCCCTTTCTTAAAGGGCTATGCTGATGTTGATATCTATAAAATCACTTCCCACTGTAAACTCCACTAGGAATGTGGTGAGCAGAGCCAGCGTCAATCAAACATATGCCGCAGTGACTGAACCACATACCTATAACCCATGTTTATTTAATCCTAAGGACTCTTCTCATATTCTATGTTTGTGATGCAGCCCAGGTTGCATGCTAATATCATTCCGATCTGTGGGGAAAAGGTCATTAAATAAGAATGTCACAAGGGTTGACAGCTGAAAGAGGCTCTGCATTTATCAACCTTTTCTGAAACATTCGCACAGAAAGGCAGCGGCATGTCTCTGACATTTGGAAGGAAGGTGAGTAAAGACTACAGCAGGGAATTCTGTCCCTTGCTCACCTCAGCCATGTCCTTGCTTCTGGTTAAGTAATCAGTGTTCAGTTTGTTTCCTAGGAATCTTAAAATAGATGTCAAGTATTTTCAGTGATTCAAACAACCCTGGTTATCATTTCACACTTCAAAATGAACTTTTAACCATCTTATCTCCATGCATTAGAACTGTCAGTAGGATGTTTTTAAACAAAAAAGGAATTAGTGGAATTTAAGGGTTCTTTGGATTACTGCAGGATATGTGAATAGGAAAGAGGAAGGATGACAGTGAAATGAATATGTGTTTGTCAAGAGGTGAGTCCACTTTTCTGATAATGGAAAAGAACAATCGGAATGAGCAGATCCCACTGACATATGACTCGTGGGTAGAGACGTGAAAATTGGAGAAATTACAGCTTCTGAGTAGAGTCCTCTTATAGCCCTCTCCCTTGAGATAAGCCAGTACCTGCAACTAACCATTGACTTGACTTCCATTTACTGAAAACCATGTTCTCAGTATTATGATAGAAGCAAAGAAAAAGTGACATATATGTTTAATCATTCCACACTATAAAATTATGAAGTTACAATAAAGGTAGGCACCACCAACAGTAATTTGGTTAACTGTTCTTCTGATACACATGTCAAGCCAAGATTATGGCCCATCATGATGTTAATAATTAGTACTAATGATGCTAAGTGATGATTAGCTCACACTCAGTGAAGCTTGCTGTCTCCAGCACCGTCCTGACTTTTAACGTGAGCACTACCCCATTTGACTTTCACAGGATCTCTTATTATCAGTAGAGCGATTTGTTCTAAACGTGACATGAAGATGTTTGCCCTGCGCTCACCATCACATGGCTCAGAATAAATGTGGGCAGGTGGTACATCCAGAGGCTGTGTTCCTAACAGCTAACTTTTAAAGGTATTTTTTTCTAACATTACCAATGAGTAGACAATGTGATATTTCCTGGTTATTTTGAATTTTGTTTTTTATTGATAAAAAATCATATATCTTTTCTCTTTTTAAATTTGCTTTATTTTTTTCTTCCCCAATTGCTCATTTAAGTCAATCGCTCACTTTTAATTGGATTTTGGTCTTGTCATAATTATTATGTAGTAATTCTGTATGTTTGAAGATAATCATAGTCTTTGCCATAAACACCACACGTCTGGAATTTATCTTTTATCTTCATGTATCATTTTTCCTGTGAAAAATTCAAATTTACATGTAAATCAAACAAAAGTCAAGTCTCATTTCCTCTTTCAGCTTTCCACTGAAGGTGTATTGCTGTTATTTACCAAGGAATTGTGTACATCTGTAGCTAAAATGCTGAAATTAAACCCACATATAATGGAAGGAGTTAAATTCTTCACGCCTTCTCTACGCATGCCTCTGGAGGTGCACGGTGGCCAGTGCCCCTCCCGCTGTAAAATCAAATCCACCCAGTGTGAGGTAGGTCTGTCCTTCTCATGTTACCCTCTCTACAGTGTCCTATTCTCTGTCAACCAGCACTCACTATGTTATGCTTGTAAATTCAAATGATGTAAGTCCTATTAATCACCCTGCATTTAAAAACAAAAAGTGGATTGAGACACTTAGGTGCACTTGGATTGTATCACTAACTTAACTGATAACTTCCACACACTGATGAAAATCAACTTGATTACTTGATTCTTGCTGCTCTATTTGGTGTATAAGCACGGCCATGTGTTCTTTAACTGCTCTTTCTATGTCTCTGTATATTTGGGGGTATGTGGTATAGAAAAAAGAATGGCCTTCAGGTCCTGGCTTTGAGTCTTGGGTATGCAGAGTGTTCATGCTCACTGAGTCATAATAGCAATAAAATGTAGATCACACCTATTTCTTGTGTCTGCCACATCTCAGTCAAGCAATGATTAGATTGCGAGGATTAATCTGATATGAGGACTAAACAGTGCACCTGTTCTGATGAGCACAAGTGTGTGGAAATGTCAATTACTATATTGTACAGCAGAATTTAATGTACACCTGAAGATACTTTGTGCACACATAACAAAAGGGAGAAGACTCGAAATGTCTTGGCATTTACAATTGTCTGTGCTCCATGCATAGAATTTTATGTACTTTGTCATTCAAAAGTAATGATTTACCTCATAAAGTAAGTTAAACATAACTGCTAAGACAGAACTACTTTCTAACTTAAGAGAATCATACTGTAATTCACAAACTATAAATTTATAGCAACTTAGGATTACTATAAGTTGTGTTTGATGTTGAATCATTCATTATAATTTAGTTCAGTTTCAATAAGAGTATTCAATAATTATCTACTGACTACTGTCTATTTTATATTTGTAGGAAGAAAAATAAGTGAGTCACCATGAATTGGGCTAACGAGAGCTCCCCAAGAGAGTTTATACTACTTGGCTTCTCAGACAGACCCTGGCTACAAATGCCCCTGTTTGTGCTCCTATTAATATCATATACATTCACCATCTTTGGCAATGTGTCCATCATGACGGTGTGCATTCTGGATCCCAAACTTCATACACCCATGTATTTCTTCCTCACTAATCTCTCCATCTTAGATCTGTGCTATACCACAAGCACAGTCCCTCATATGTTGACAAATATTTGTCGCAACAAAAAGACCATCAGCTACGGTGGCTGTGTGGCACAGCTCATCATCTTCCTGGCCCTGGGAGCTACTGAGTGTCTCCTCCTGGCTGTCATGTCCTTTGACAGATATGTAGCGGTCTGCAAACCCCTGCATTATGTAGTTATTATGAATCATTGGTTCTGCTTAAGGGTGGTAGCCTTCTCGTGGTTCACTGGCTTTGGTAATTCGGTGTTGCAGTCTTCCTTGACTCTTAACATGCCACGCTGTGGTCGTCAGGAAGTGGACCACTTTTTCTGTGAGGTGCCTGCCCTTCTCAAGTTGTCGTGTGCAGAAACAAAACCTATTGAGGCTGAACTCTTTTTCTTTAGTGTATTAATTCTGCTAATCCCAGTGACATTGATCCTCATTTCCTATGGCTTTATAGCTCAAGCAGTATTGAGAATCAGGTCAGCAGAAGGACGACAGAAAGCTTTTGGGACATGTGGGTCCCACATGGTTGTGGTGTCTCTCTTTTTTGGTACAGACATCTACATGTATCTACAACCACCTTCATCCACCTCGAAGGACTGGGGAAAGATGGTTTCCCTATTCTATGGGATAATAAAACCAATGATGAACCCCCTTATCTACAGCCTTAGAAATAAAGATATGAAGGAGGCCTTCAAGAGGGTGAAACCAAGAATCTTTTTCTGTAAGAAATAAGTATTCCATTGTGATGAGAATCCTCTGAGTTTCTATCCTTGCAGGTGGTGATAATGTTTGAACTGATTTTCCTACTTTCCAGGCTCTTATGCTTTAATTGAATTCTACCAACAGTTAGCAACGCCCTCCTCTGTTCAGAAGACAATTCTCTGATACCTTTTCTAAATTAAAAACTTCTTGCTTTCCAGAAGTTCCCCCAATGCACTCTGTTCCTCGAGGACACTAGAATGGTTCAACTTCCTGTTTACATATGATCTGTTGTAGTACCATCTTAGTGTGCAATTTCTACACCTTTATCATTAAATAGCCTATGATCTCAAGTCAAAAAATTTCCATCAGCACCAAACCCTCAGTCACTTCACCGTCACACCCCTTGATAAATCCATCACTTGCTCCATGCAGAGTATCTTGCTGTACATAGACTGCCTCCAATCTAGTGGGCTTCAACTAGTTAGGTGTGCACATCTCATACTAGAGACTTGAACTGTCAGCTGAGTTTCATTTCCTGCTCTATTATTTTTTAAAATATTTTTAATATTTATTTATTTTAGAGACAGACAGAGAGAGAGAGAGAGAGAGAGAGAGAGAATGTGCGAGCACAAGTGGGGGAGGCTCCAGGCTCTGAGTGTCAGCATAGAGCCCAACTTGGGGCTCACTATGTTGGGCTCAAACCCACTAACCTACAGATCATGACCTGAGCCAAGGTTGGATGCTTAACGGGCTGAACCACTCAGGCACCCCTTTCCTGCTCTTTTTAATTCATCCTTCTATTCCCCATAGATAGAATTTCTCCTTTGTTGCTCCTTTGTTCAAAACCTTATTTATCTCAAGTTCTGCCACATGCATGAGGGACCTTCTCTAAATTATAATACTAATTATTTATAGAAATGTTAACAGTAATCTTTTTTTCTAATACTGATCTGAATTAATTCATTCCTTGGGCTGTCACTCAAAAAATGTTCATTTTCATTAGATAACTCTAGACTATAGGAAAAATGATCAACAGTTCCTCCTGAAGAAATATTCTGCTTCCTAAAGGAAATACTCTTAAACTCCGATAGTAAAATTATTATTTGCAGTTTGCAATGTAGGGACATAGATGAATCAATATTTATGCAACAGAGAAATGCTTAAAAAACAAAGTTTTCAGAATTTCATATTATACTTTATATTTTCATATGATACATTTAATATTTTCATATTAAATACAATGAGTCTAATAGTACTAAAATATGGAGTTAAAAACACACACACAAATTGAGGCTGGAAATTTTGCCTAAAAAGTTTGGGTTGTGTCCAGTTAGCAAGTCAGAATAATTTCAGCATAGAAGGTGCAGCATCAGTATAAAATAATTGCAAACATATGTACAGAATATGGCTCTTATATAATTTTTATGTGGCATTTCAAATAAATGGGAAAGGGAGCAACTTTAAATCTATGGTGTTTAAAGAGTTGATTTTCTCAAAAAATAAGAATATTTAAGATGCTAAAGAAAAATGAAAGCAATTACATTTCTCATACCTGTGCCTTTTAAAAATTTCCAAACCACCATACTCACTGTCTTCTATTGTTGAGTATATGATAAGCATTTCAAACTCAACACATTTAGGGCAAGCATCTTCTCTTCTTTTGAGACAAAGGCCTCTTCTAAAGCTCATTATTTTTATGAAGGAGGTCACCTGTTGTCTAGGTGTGCAAATCATAAACCATGAATCCTATCTTATACCATTGCCTTCATAATTTTCCATAGAAAAACCATTACCAAGACACTACAATGATTTCTCTTTGGTACCTTCCACCACTCCATGGCTTCCTTTTTCACATTCCTACTATCATTATCTTTTACCTAGACTTGCTGATTATCAAATTCACCTATATACTCTCCTCCTGATGCTCTGTAATGTACTTTAGAAAATACAGTCACCAAGAGGGCAAGAAGGCTCCCCTTTTTTCACATTCTCGCCAACACCTGTTGTTTCTTGTCTTGTTGATTTTAGCCATCCTGACTGTTGTATGGTAATATCTCATTGTAGTTTTGATTTGTATTTCCCTGAGAAATGTATTAAGAAGATATATATATGTATATATAGATATGTATATATAAAGATATTCTTTAGTGTATTTATACTAGTGTATATATAAAGATATTCTTTAGTATATTTACTATATTCTTTAGTGTATTAATTCTGCTACTTTCAGTGACATCATTCCTCATTTTATATGGCTTTATAGCTCAAGCAGTATTGATTACACACACACATACACACACACACAGAGGAATATTACTCATCCATGAAAAAGAATGACATCTTGCTATTTGCAGTGACATGAATGGGGCAAGAGGATATTACGCTAGGGAAAATAAGTCAGTCATAGAAAGACAAATAACATGATCATTCATATGAGGAATTTAAGAAATAAAACAAATAACCAAAACACAAAGAGAGACACAGACAAACCGAGAAACAGACTCTTAACTATAGAGAACACACTGACGTTACTAGAGAGGAGGTGAGGGATGGGTTCCATCCATAATAGGGATTGAGGAGGGCAATTACTGTTATGAAAAATGGTGTTGTATGGAAGTGCTGACTCACTGTATTCTCCACCTGAAATTAATATTACACTATATGTTAACTAACTGGAGTTTATATTAAAACTTAAAAAGAAAAAGAAAATACAGCTAGAGTTCTATTTTGAGTGCAACTACAATTATTCCACTCTCCCCACTGGCACTATAGATTATCAGTGGCTTCTGTTACCCACTAGACAGAGACAGATGTTCACTCCTTGCCTTAAAGACTGCTCTGTCCCTTGCATTTACCCTTTTTCCTTAAAGCACAGGACATCTGAGCATACTGATTCTTCTACCTGGAATACTCTTCCCACTGATCTTTATTATGTTTCTAATTGTTCAGACCTCATCATTTATCTAGGGAATCTTTTTATTTTGTATCTCTTAGCCATTCAAATATTCACAAATTTACTCATCATGTGCTTCTCTTACTTGTGGCATTTTTACTTGTTAGTGATCAGGTAATAATGTCTTCACCTACTGCTAACCTGTAAGCTCCATGAGAGTAAGAACAAGGTTTGGTTTGGTCACCGAAGCATTCACAGTACTTAGTTCTGCAGGCAGAGAATTAAAACACCAAGTTATCAAAACTATAGGTAATTTCAACTAATATGTGATTTTCACTTTTTCTATAAAAAGAATTTACAGAGATGTGAAGTCCTCTAGGGCTAGGGACACTGGTTGTTAAAAGTCCATGGTGGGATATAAACTTAAATTCTCAAAGCCTAAAGAAATTGTATTTCCCTGTAAAAATGAAAATCAAATTACCCACATGTGGTCATCAATAGTCTTTTCTATTTTATAAATAAATACATTGCCTATAGTTTAATAAAAGTGGTTTTATGGGGAAAAAAAACCATCCTTAAAATTACTGTATGTAAAAATAAACTCAAAATGGATAAAGGACCTGAACGTGAGACAGGAAACTTTCAACACCCTAGAGGAGAAAACAGGAAACAACCTCCTTGACCTCCACCGCAGCAACTTCTTACTTGACACATCTCCCAAAGCAAGGGAATCAAGAGCAAAAATAAACTGTTGGGACCTCATCAAGATTAAAAGCTTCTGCACAGCCAAGGAAACAAACCAGAAAACTAATAGGCAACCAACGGAATGGGAAAAGAGTTGCAAATGACATATCAGATAAAGGGTTAATATCCAGAATCTATAAGGAACTCACCAAACTACACGCCCGAAAAACAAACAACCCAGTGAAGAAATGGGCAGAAGATATGAACAGACACTTCTCCCAAGAGGACATCCAAATGGCCAACAGACACATGAAACGATGCTCAGCATCCCTCCTCATCAGGGAAATACAAATCACAACCACACTGAGATACCACCTCACACCAGTCAGAGTGGCTAAAATGAGCAAATCAGAGAACTCTAGATGCTGGCGAGGATGTGGAGAAACGGGCACCCTCCTACACTGTTGGTGGGAATGTAAACTGGTACAGCCCCTCTGGAAATCAGTGTGGAGGATCCTCAAAAAATTAACAATAAAACTCCCCTATGACCCAGCAATAGCACTGCTAGGAATTTACCCAAGGGATACAGAAATGCTGAGGCATAGGAGCACATGTACCCCAATGTTCATAGCAGCACTCTTAACAATAGCTAAAACATGGAAAGAGCCTAAGTGTCCATCAACAGATGAATGGATCAAGAAGATGTGTTTTATCTATACGATGGAATACTACATGGCAATGAGAAAGAATGAAATCTGGCCATTGGTAGCAACATGGATGGACCTTGAGGGTGTTATGCTGAGCTAAATAAGTCAGGCAGAGAAGGACAAATATCATATGTTTGCACGTATAGGAGGATTAGGAGGAACTTGACGGAGGACCAAGGGGGAGAAGAAGGGGGGAAATGGTGGGGGAAAGGGAGAGAGGCAAACCATGAGAGACTCTTGAATGCTGACAAAAACTGAGGACTGATTGATGTGGGGGGGAGGGGGGGATAGGCATGGAGGAGGACACTTGTGGGGATGAGCACTGAGTGTTATGTGGAAACTAATTTGACAATAAACTATTTGTAAAAAAAAAAACAAAAAACAAAAAAAAATAAATTAAAAAAAATAACCATGCTATAAAAAAAATAAAATTACTGTATGTAAAGCTCATCTTTCTTGGTATATTACTTTATTACTCTTTCATATTAATGGAGTTTTATTTTTTCTTATTTTTTAAAAAAATTAAATATTTATTTTTGAGAGAGACAGTGAAATCCAGAGAGAGAGAGAGAGAGAGAGAGAGAACGAGCAAGGAAGGGTAGAGAAAGAAAGGGACACGGAATTCGAAGCAGGGTCCAGGCTCTGAGCTATCAGTACAGAGAGTCTGACACGGGCCTCAAACTCACAACCTATGAGATCATGACCTGAGCTGAAGTCAGACGCTAAACAAGTGAGCCACCCAGGTG